CGCCGAATGATGCGAATTTAAACGGGTTGACCTGCCACCTGGAGGTCAGAAAAGATCTACTTAGTGGACACGAGACGTACAACTGGCTGCTAAAGAAAGCAGCGTTCAAGAAATGGCTGGGAAACAAAGAGCCTTCTACTCGCGCGCGACATGTCGAGACACGCAAGGCGGCAGAGAAAGCAGTGGCGAAAGACAATACCGATTCCTGGGAGAAGTTCGGTGAGGTGTTGGAGTCGAATTTCCACAGGCAAGCAAAGTATTTTGGCAGACCATCCGCCGGCTCTGATGTAAACACAAGGGCACTCTCAGAGTCCTGAAGGACAGGTCTAGACACCCTCTTACCAAGGATGATGACATTCTTTGGCGATGGACAGATTACTTTAAGGACTCCTTAAAGCTGAGCAACCGCAGAAAGACCCACCAGTAGAGCATCCGGCAACGAATATTACTGCTTCTGTAGATGAAATTACACAAGCCGTGAAAAGCTTGAGAAATGGAAAGGCTGCTGTAATTGATGAAATCCGCCCTGAAATGCTGAAGGCATTAGGCGAACAAGGCATGTGCTGGCTTACACGTGCCTGTGAAACTGCGATGACTATGAGTAAGGCACCAGCAGACTGCAGAACAGGAACTGTTGTACCTCTACTCAGTAAGGGTAACCACAGGGAGTGCTCAAATTATAAGGGCATTACGTTATTCAGCCTCCAAGGTAAAGGCTATGTAAAGGTGAGGAATAACTGATTCCAAAATACCAGGCCAACGTGGCTTCCGGCACGGTCGAAGCACCTCTGACCATATATTTGCCCTGCGTCAAATTGCTGAGAAATCGGGGGAGTAGGTCCGTCCGGTGTACATGTGTTTCGTTGACATAGAGAAAGATTACGACCGGATCTTCCGCAACAGTATGTAGTCATGCCTATGAACATACGGGATATGTGGTCAGCTGATCAGGGCCATTCAAACACTGTATTCCGATAGCAGGTGCTGCGTCAGAGCAAATTGTGTTAAGTCGATGCCTTTCAAAGTCCGTACTGGTCTCCGCCAAGGCTGCGTCCTGTCCCCTATCCTGTTTGTGTTGTACGTGGATAGAATAGTCAGGAGCGGCCAAGGCGACGCGGGTATCGGTATAGGAGATGTTAAGTCAAGAAGGTTGCTGTTTGCAGACGACCTTGTTTTATTAGCTTCTTCTGAAACTGATCTCCAGTGCTCCTTAG